CCTTCGCCCTCACGCTGCAGTGGCCGCGGGGTGCGAGCGCTCGAGCCCGCCGCCATTGCGCGCTCCCGTGTGCTGCCGCCGGCTGTAAACACCTCCAGAGAGCTGCCCCGTCCGTACAGGGCACTGCTGAAAGTACCCCCAGTAAAAATACCTCCCCCGTCCTTTTCCCCCTCTTGCCACTCCTTTTCGTCTCTCTCCTTCCCTTCCTCACCGTCCCCCTGTTCTTCCGCCCCTTTCTTTTCCACCCCTCTTTCCCCCTTCCTTTCCCCTCCGTATTTTTTCTGTGATAAATTTCATTCAAGATGGCTAAAGATGGAAAGCTGAAGTTGAGGGTTTTGTCCCGCTTTTTCTACAGAAGCTCCAAAACATTTTGGACGACGACAGGCATGTTCCCGCAGGAACTGATTATTGGTTTTCCCAAATGTGTAAGAATCAGCAAAGTCGCCATCCAGTGTTATTTGGGTAAGACTTTGTGTCTTGCAGTAGGTCATATGTGCTATATTAAAATGTGTGTCTGTGCCTTAATGAAAGTTCCCACAGCAGTGTCATAGTCTGTACGTATCCACCTTTAACAGATTCATAAACATTTAACTTCACATAAAGATTTTGCATAAAGATTCATTTCACAAAGCAATCATCCTTCATATGCACAATCCCCATAGCTTAGACAAAAAATAAACTAGTTAATGCTCTGAAAGTGCTTTGTGGCTGTAAAGTGATGGAATAAATATCAGTATCAATAAAGAATCAGAATTTGCATTGATATTTTGAATTTATATATATATTTTAGTGCGGACCTTAAGGATTGAAAGAAGCACAGCTAAAGACCCTGTGGGTTTTGAACAGTGCATTGAAAAAGGTAAGACTGAGTTTGTGGGGTTTTGTGAGAACAATATTGGTCTTTTTCAGTGCATCACTGTAACCCCCCTCATCTATTTGTTGAGTAAAGTGTGGCATGATGTTTATTTTATTGGACATTAATGTAATGGTCACGTTTAAGTGAATTTTGTTAACACTGCTGGTCTCTGCAGCAGTTTAGAGAGTAAAATGCTGTATAAGGGCTAAAAGCACTACTTGTGCACTTTATGTTCCAAAAATTAAAAACAGGCTTACACAGTATAATAGAGTGCCATTTCCTGCATTGTTTGGTTTGGGGATTGGCTTTTTTTAGTGCCTCTTGGGTGACCTTTTATAACACTGTAATGAGTGGGGTATATATACACACACAGACTGGGATATTGCAAAAAAGTATTCTCTTAAATCACCTGTAAAAATAAAAAAGAACAATGTCTCTATGCATTGTAAATTCATAGTCCTTAAACTCACTTGAACTCTGAGTCCAGTGAAAACGTCACAGCATTGCACATTATTTTTCATTATTTACCTTAAAATATGTTTTCTAGATTTGCAGCACAGAGAAGGACAGCTCCAAATGGAAGAATTTCCAGTGAGTATTTACAGCATACATCTGTAGTGGTTCATGAAATGGGATGTCTGGACTAAGTGGGGAGAAATCATAAAAAGCCCAAACATGTCTTTATTTACAATTACTGCTCAGTTGGTGTTAAAGAGAGGAATTTGTAGATTGTGGTGTGAAATTGCACTTCCCAGCTGCTCCTCTGTAGATTATGCTATGAAATTGCACCTGCCTCATGCTCCTAACGAGGTGCAAGGGCCCTTTCCAGAAGTGTGGCAATCTTCCCTCCTTCAATTGCTGCCTTTAAGGCTGCAGAATTCAGGAAGTGATGGGATTTTTTTTTTTTGAATTGCAGGTCAAAGAACTTGATTTATGTGCAATTCAAAAACAGGCACTGAAATATCCAGATCCTTGTATTTAACAAACTTCTGCAAATGTGGTTTGGTAGTTTTGTTACTACAGAGAATGCAATAACATTATTTTTATTCCTTCTGCAGCTTCCTGAGTTCCAAGCCACTTACTTGCGTTTCATCATCAAATCTGCCTTTGATCATTTTGTGTCAGTGCACCGGGTGATGGCAGAGGGCACGGCAGACAACACTTGAGCTCAGCTTAAATTTGGGCCTCCATTTTATTTTTTTATAAGGAAGTTTCATTTTGATAGCTGCACTACAGAGTATGTTTATTATTAGAACCTTGTATTAAAGTTTTTTTTTGAAGGTATGGGTGTGGTATGTATTCCCTGCTGGTTTAATGTGTGGAATAGAATAGGAGAATATAGAATCATTTAGGTTGGAGAAGACTTTTAGGATCATCAAATCCAGCCATATCATAGTGCTGTTGTTAATTTTAGTAACAGCTTTTTCATTTTGTAACCTCAGCTGTCAGCCTAGAACACCTGAGCATAACTGAGTCCATTTAAGGCAGTATGTTTATATCAGGCCTACATAATACATGAATTAGAACTCAATTTCCTGTAAAGTGTTTCCTTTGCACTCTGAGTTAAATAGAAATAAAAAAGGGATAGCTACTTAAGTGAGATGTATTACTTCCTACTGTCAAACAAGTCCTTTAAAAGTCCTTAAATTGGTAACTTTCTGATCAGCTTAAACACAGAGATTATTAGAATGAATATAAATGTCTGCTAATGCTTAGAAATAACCCAGGGGAGAGAGGCAGGGCAGGAAGGGAAATAATCTGAAGCCAAATGAAGTACTTTGATAGCCTTTTAATAATTGTAGATCAATCCCTTGTTTCTATAAATATTTTCTAGAATCAGGTCACAGCTGCCAGTGCTTTTTGCTGGGACCATCATAACAAATACTCATGGAAACAAGTGTTAATAGAGATTGTCTTGCTCAGAAGCCTCCTGAAGTCAGTGAAGGGGAACATTTTGTATATACAAGTGCAATGTGTATAGTAATGAAATCAGTTGCTTTGTCTGCCAGTGGACTCTTGGAAATGTCACCACCCTGAAGTTTATCCCGCAGGATATTCCTTACAAGTGTAAATGTTGGTATCCAGAGCTCCATGGAGCCAGCTCCCACGTTACTGCATGTGGTTTAAGAGTAGTAAGTTACTGTGGAACAGAAGTTGGTGTTGTAGGGATAGCACCTGAGAGCTTCTAAACAAATATAATGAACCTTATTCCAGATGCTCTTTACATTCACATACAGCATTCTTATTTTCTTGTCTCTATGGCTGTTTTAAAATATTTTTTTTGTCCTTAGACTCAGATCTGTGACAAATTATCCTTGAACTTCTTTATCCAGATAGTTTTTACTTCAAAGTCCTTTATTTTTTTCCTATTCCAGTTTTTCCAGGATGGCACGTATTTCCTGGGGGTGGTAATTCCAGGGCCCCACTCCTCCCTGCAAAGGCAATAAAATGACACAATGATGCTCAAGCAGACAGAGCAGAAATCCTTCAGAGCACAGCAGCTGCACCAGAGCTGTGGGCAGGTGTGCCTTGGGTTCTCTTTCCACTGGAGCCATCCCTGGGAGATGGTTATGCACTGGTTACACCCTGTTTTGTCACCGGGACAGAGCCACTGGAGGTGGGAGGTGTTCCTGGATCTCACAGCTTAGATGTACCTCGTGTTATTAATGAGCCAAAAGATAAATATTTGAGCAAGACAGGTGTACATCAAATATGTACATTACAAAGGCCCAGACCGGTTTTGCTGCATGTTCATTTCTCTCCACATTTACAGGGAATTGTGCAATGTTTAGCTCTCAAACAGAATGAAATACTGACTGTTAAATGTAAAGCAGTCTCAAGTTACCTTGAGATTTAAAAAACTCTGTACACTGTGCTCATTGCTACTGATATTTTTTACCTTGTAGAGGACCTTCCCTCCTTGAAGCATGTAGAGTCGTTCTGGCAGCGCAGCGTATTTTGAACTGCTCAGGTTTTCCATAGTGTCTAAAACCACTGGACACAGAGGGTGATTTTTCTGAAGAAGTTGTGCTGCAGCTTTTCGATCTTCAAGGCTTCTGTGATTTTTAATAACGATATTGTTTTTAAAAGCCCATCCATCTAAAACAAATGAGGGAAGGGATTTAGCAATGAAGGTTTTGAATATGTGCAAGGGTGGACATGTACTGTCTCATATCCCAAAAGTAGGTTAAAAGAATCTTGCAGTTTATTCCTAACATCAAAACCTGCCATGAAATGAAAGCCTCCCTCAAACTATGGCAGCACTAGAGCTTTGCAATAAGTGGTCCCAAGATCTATTTTTTTCCCTTTAATTCCATCAAACCATATTTACCTCTTGCCCTGGATGCAGAAATATTTGATGGATTTTAGCTGAAATTTTCCCACAGAAATCAGCCCTAGAAAGACACCATGTGGGTAACATGTATTCTATTTGGGTAAGATTTGTCAGTGTTGTACATTTTGCTTGATTGTACTCATTAATCCTATAAACCAAAATGACAGGTCTGTGAGAAGCAAAATGTGAGCCAGGACACACATTTGTTTTTCAGAACTATGCAAACAAACATTTGCACACAACTCTTCCCAGTAAAGTAGAAACTAGAAAGCTATAAATGTTAGGTTTTAGAAAAACATTTAATCCTGGGATAAAGCCAGTGCTAATGTGTTACTTAGAATCCAGTGTAGATAAACAAGTGTGGTTTGTTTGCTTGCTAAATTTTTCAGATTTAACTGTATCCTGTTCTTGGAAAATGTTAAAAACTAGTATTTTTTTAACATATATTGTACACTTAACTTTTGTTCTATGAAATTTCTTCCTCTTTCCAAAAGGAGCTGTACTAACATTGAGAGGCAATTTTTTAAAGACGTGTCCTTCACTTGAGTAACTCAGTGTAAAGTCAGAAGTGTAAGTAGAATCTTGGGAGAATTAGGGACACAAATTGGTGCTTAGATGTGGTGTTGCCACTCGATTTGAAGATTTCTCTCATGTTTGCAGCCTCCTCCTTTGCTAGCACATTTTTTCCCTAAAGGAAGTGACACATTTGAAGCTGTGGTTGGCATCACTGTGGTTGTACTGTACCTACTGCATGAGCTTCCTCAATGTAGATGATAAGGAAATCGGCTATTGAGCTGAAATCTTTGATGAGCTTGTTGAACTCATCAAATTTTAGCATAAATGAAGGTCAGGTGCAACTTCCAAAATTCAGGATTAAAGGTCGGTTATCTGGGAAAAAAATAAAGATTAAAAAAAATAAATTTGTGGTTAAGCGAAGGGAGGAATGACAGAAGTAAATACACTGAACTGAGCCTCTGATGCAGAGATTTCTGGACAACACTAAATCACCTCATAAACTTCTCTTAGGTCAGTAAAATCAGCAGCAGAACCTCTGCATCTCTGCAAAGCAGGCATAAAGGTGTTTTTCCTAGCCTGGCTTTGATCAGTTTACCTAAGGGAACCCTTCCCACTACAGGCAGGAGGCACCCTGCAGTCACACAGCTTCTCTTTGCCTCATCACGAGAGCAAATTTGCAAGTTACCAACATTTTTGGGATAGGGAACTGATCCAAAAAGGGCATCTCAGCCTCCCTGAGATCTTCAGTACAGAGCAACTTCAAAGATATTAAACATGGCCTTCTGCAAGGTTATCCAGGGACAGTGGTTCAGGGGTGGGCATTGAGGACAGAGTCACAAAGCCTTTTCATGTCCAGATTTTTTTAGATGTTCAAGCTGAGCTGAGGGGAAACTGCAGACTTTTCAGTCATGCGTCACAGGCTCTCATGCTTTCAATGTATTTCTGCAATTTCCTGACCAAACAGAACGCTGGTTATATGTTATTAAACTAACCTTACACTGGAAAAAGTGTCTGCAGTTGCTTACAAATTAACACTGTTTTGCGTTGGTGTTGGCATCTGTTTGCAAGGCCTTGATTTAAGAGAGACTGCAGGACTTTTAAGCACCTCTTTTAGTCTGGTTATGCTAAATTCTATTAAATTTGTTCAAGATCTTTCTGGCGTGGCTTAACTTAAAAGCTGCTGCTAACATAGATCCACATCCTAAAGAATTAAATAACAGTGGTACCCTCCTGTAGATACTGTGTATCTCTTCTTCAAATTTGCAGTCCATTTTCTACATAAATATCTATGTATAATTAGGAATGCAGAGTGAGAGAAGGATGTAATCCCTCCCGTGGGGATGGAGGCTGCAGCTTAATGATTAATTCCACATTCTAGGGAGATCTCAGTGGGAGGCAGGGGACAAAGTACAAAGCAGCTACTTCTGCTTTATTCCCTGCCACTTTGGATCTGGAAAAACCCACCGTGAGCTTTCTAGGCTTTAGGCTGGCAAAGGGAGCTGGTGTGGAATTTTCCGTATGGACAGAGAACGACAGCCAACACTCAGGATTCATTGCAAATGATTCAATTCTGGGCTTTCCCTCCTTAAAACTAATTATTACCTTGGCTTTCAGCAAAAAGCGTTTTCAGGCAGAGACAGGTCTTGCAAAAGCTCAGTGGTGTGAAGGGATAGCATAGACAGGGTGATAAATGCAGGTTAATTTTGAAAATCAAGAAGCAGCTGGAGTAAGTGTGCTTCATCTTCTCCAGCAGGTGAGTGCTGGTGGTCTGTACATGGTGCACTCAGGGACCAGCTGCCCGTGCCTGTTCCCTCAGCAGCATTTCCTCATTTGTGCTCTCAGCAAACCCAACCCAGCTGACCTCCAGTTACTGACCTTTCATGAAATCCAGGACATGACAAACTTCCCCGCCGAGGGTCACCACTGGCGTGTTGGGGGCAGGGTGTCCCTCGTAGGCTTCATCCTCCAGCCTCTTCCACTTCACCTTCAGCACAAATTGCAAATATTTGAAGCTGAAAAAAGTCGGGCCCCAGTTTTCGTAGCTGAACTTTGGATTCCGGTTCATTCTGCTCTTTTCACCCATCTTTAGGATGTATCTTTTCATGGCGTTGGGGAACAGTATCATCAGTGTTTTGCCAACAACAACAGACAGAGTAACCTGCAAAAGAATCAAGATTTTATGTAGGAATACCCTGATGCCCAACATCATGGTGGAGAGATCTGGCCACTTGTGATGGGAGCACAGTGCAAGGCAGGGGCAAAGGTAGAGGATGAAGGGGAGGGAGAACGTTCACGTGTTTGATATTCTGCCTTGCCTTGAACACTGTCCTCTCCCTGCACTTCAGCCCCTGTGTGAGCAAGGATCCTGTCAGGCACGCTCCCTCCAGCTGCACCAAAGGCATCAAGTGCAGCCCGGCTGGGTGTGTGGTGCTCACTGCACAGCTGTGAGGCTTATCCACAAATGCGGTCTTTTACAGATGAGGGGAGCTGGATCAGGGTGTTCTCCCTGAATCCCAGAGTAGACTAAAGTGCTGATGCTTGAGGCCTTGGGGTGATGCAGATGCTGTGCCAACAGTGCCCTGTTACTCCTGCTTTGCCTGATCTGGGGCTCTGCTGCACTCCATGTTTTGGCATTTTGGGGCTGAAAGATTAAATATGCACACACACTCCAGTATATACAATATCCAGCTAGTCCCCAGCACAGGAAGGGGACGGATCTGTTGGAGCAAGGCTTCTAGAGGCCACCAAGATCAGAGGGATGGAGCAGCTCTGCTGTGAGGAAGAGCTGGGACGATTGGGATTGTTCAGCCTGGGGAAGAAAAGGCTTTGTGGTGACCTGTTTGTGTCCTTCCAGCACCTGAAGGGAGACAAGGCAGATGGAGAGAGTCTATTGACAAAGGCCTGCAGTGACAGGACAAGAGGGAATGGCTGCAAACTTAGAGAGGACAGGTTTAGACTAGGTGTGAAGCAAAAACCCTCTCCCGTGAAGGTGGTGAGGCCCTGGTACAGGCTGCCCAGGGAAGCTGTGGCTGCTCCATCCCTGGAAGTGTCCAAGGCCAGGCCGGACAGGGCATGGAGCGACCCGTTCTGCTGGGAGGTGTCCGTGCCCATGGCAGGGAGTTGTAATGAGCTAAGCTTTAATGTCCCTTCCAACCCAAACCGTTCTGTGATTCTCTGATAAAACTCTCAGTTACCAAAACACAATTATCTATAGCCCCTATACATTCGTGCGCAGTGGCGCTTGGGCTGCCGCGGGCCCTTTAAGAGGGCGGGCGGGCGCGCACGCGGAAGCGCTGCGAGGGCTGTGATTGGTCGCTGCCAGGCTCGTCGCCGACGGGGTCGCTGCGCCCGGAGGGGCGGGGGCA